TTTTGTCATCCTCGGAAAACTATATCCCCCTTCTCCATGTCCCTTTCTCGTTCTTTGAGTAGTCCCATGAGCGTCGCTCGCTTCGCCAACTTTCTCGATTAATATTTTTTTTAAACTTACTATAGCCTTGAAGAATACCTTTCGTCTAAATTGTTCCTGCGATGATAGCGTATTCAACTAATAAAGAATATAACGTTTAAAAGTTCTTCGTACGATCTGGTGATGGCCGCATAGCAAGAGAATACTTTTCTTGCATCGTCTAGCGAATGAAATTGCACTGAAGGTTTCACAATCAACATTATAATAGTCTCTGTTCATGTCCAGTTCAGAGGCATAATACAGTGTGTTTGAATGTTTTCAATATACTTCTAGTTTATTATTATAATATGAAAAAAAAAAAAAAAAAAAACATTTTAAATAAAAATAGCATCGCCCCTTCTCCTCCCAAAATATGAACCACTCTCTTCTCAATATAAAAACCTTAAAAGGCTATTGATATCTAGTCAGATGACACTTACCACTATCTAAGATGAATTTCTGCCCCTAAATCCACTTTCCCAGACTAGCACTTAGCCCTTTAGTTTTATAATACCTAGTAAACAAAAACAATTTTGGGACAAGTTTTAAATTCTCAAAGTTTAGATTAAGTTTAAAATCGGACCGATACGCGAATAATTCTTTCTCATCCATAACTATAAATGAAGAAGTTAATACCACCTCACGAAAAGGAAATAACACCTGGACTTATTAACGTCCCTGCACGCTATTCGGTTTAACAATATCTCTCTAATTACGCTATATATTTATTTTACGCGAGTTATTTTTGCGCACAAGAAAAAACAATTTTTAAAAAAAAAAAATAAAAAACAATTTTCGTACCACGAATTAGATTAGGATTTATCTTTTACATATACTAAATACACTGCGGCAAATTGAATATTACAATAGTGAGCTTCAACGATAAAACAATGTAAGCCTGCAATAATACCTGCAGTGCAACAGAACGATAAATGTATCTTTTCCCACCATCTTATAGGATTGATCATAGAAGATACGACGAGAGACCCCTGCGAAGGGGCGCCGCGCTCCTTAAGCGCTTTGGGGTCTACCGTCCCTACTAAATAGACAGAATCGATAAAATAAGTAAACCAGGACGGACAGTGTTGCCATTCAAATAAATATCTTGCCTACTTAATGAAAAATTAAAATATACAAAAAAAAAAAAAAAAAAAAAATAAATCATAAATAAAGTAGAAACAATTAAGAAGTTTTCTCTAAGGCACATAACTTCTTTCTAAAACGTAAAGTAACATGCAAACTTGATATCATTTCTAGAATAGCAAGTTCGCTATTCTATGAAATCGCAATACGTACGATCTCCTAGCATTCCTCCGACCACAGTCTGTTCGGCGCGGCCGCCTTGACAAAGCCGCTGCTGTGACAAAGGAATTTAGGCCGAAAAAAACTTAGTAGACGAACAGGGTTGTTGGGTTTGTTAGATTATAAATCCATACGAGAACAAAATTCTCGTTAGATCTTCAACAAAAATTAAAAGTACAGAATAGAAGAAAACGAAATAATAATATAATATTAACTAAAAACACAAAAATATAAAAAAAAAAAAAAAAAAAAAAAAAAAAATACCAAATATAAATAATATATAACAAGAATTAGAAATAGCTAGTTATTTATTTTATATGAAAAAATATTGAATTAAATAAATAATATATTAATAAAACATATAAAACTACAACAAGTATAGATAGCAGTCACAAATTAATGTAGCAGTCACTCTTTACCTTTGTACAAATTTTGATCAGTGAAAATTAATTCATCTCAATGGGAAAGCTGTAGCAACTCTCAACGCTTTGTTCATATTAATAATTTTTTCACTGAAAAATCACTAAATATTGTTCCGAATTGTAAGTGGTTTCTTAATTAAATTTGTTATTTAAAAAAAAAAAAAAAAAAAAAAAAAAAAAAAAAAAAAAAATAAATTCTTCAAAAATATCAACTTCTTCGAGCATGTCGCCAATACCGCCCCTAATAAGGAGTAATAAGGATTTTTTTTTTTTATTTTATTAATCTTTATTCTATTTCAATTTACTCAAATATAATAATAATAAAAAAAAAAAAAAAAAAAATAAATAAAATTAATTGATTGAAACCAATAATAAGCAAATACATTCCAACCCTAGCTTTTCGCTATAGTCAAATAATCAGCTTTTTAAAAGTCCTGTTCTATTGGTAAAAGTAAATCGCAGTGAACGATATCGTTAGATTCTTCTTTAAATCGGTAGCATCTTTTTTAGGTTAGCTGTACAGAACAAACCGGTATTAACCTGGCAGACTCTGTGATGAACTACAGGCTAGACGAAAAGCGAAGGTGCGAGGCCCGGATGAAGGGAAATAAAATTAATGGCATCAAATAAAGGCGAGCCAGGCTTTATTCAGATGATGACCCTCAGTGGTCGAAGTTTCCAAAATTGATCTTCTATTGGAGTTTTTCTAATGCTAGACAGTTCCGTATGCGAATGGAAACGTAAGTTGTTGCATGCTCTGTTTAACCTATAACTTTTTTAAGGTTTCATCAATGCATGTAATTCCTATGCCTAGAGACCCATTGCCGGGCCTGTATACCTAATCTGTCCCACGATACGCATAAACACGGTATGTCCGATTGTCGCAGGACGCATTTTAGTCAACTCCGCGCACGTACGTCATCTGTGCTGCAAACCGATACAGATGGCCGATACGACACATAACAATCTTTTTAAACGCTGTGTCTGGCTGCTTGTTCAAACGATATTTGCATTTTAGCATCGAGTTTTTTTTAGTTACCTTCAAGAGATGCGTGTTAGTAGAATATTAGAAATTTGTTAAGCTGTTGTTAAATATGAACGATCTATACGAATGGCAAAAAAGACGTATTGAGTTTATTAGCAATATTCTGACAAAAGATGAAGAAGCTTCGACGAGCGCAAAAGGGTCATTTGAAAGTCAGCAAATGCATGGTACTTTTTTGGCACAAGTTAGGCATGGACTTGCTTATAGTGTTTTATTTTATTTTCGAGTTGAAGTCTTTTAATGTAGTAATTAGCTAAGATTGATAACGTTGCATCATTTAAAAACTGGAAAATAACTGGTTTTCCCTTAACACGGCAGTATAATATCTAGTTCGTCGGATGAACGGGTAAATGAACATCAATTATTCAGTCTATTGTGTACATTAACACGCTTTATTATATTGCACGCTATTCGCATTTGAAACTTAAAATGCCTATAAAGCATCGTTCTATCGGCGGAGTTTTGTTCCGGTGTCGTCCGAAATAATCGTCCATTCGTCATTCGACGAATTCACGGACGTTCAAACAAGGTAGTGACACGTGTAAAATATGCACGGGCACACGTCCGGGGCACATGAGTAATGCGTTCAATATTTACGGGGCCCCGTCTCCAACGGTATCGTGACGCCTATTAAAATATTACTCGTCAAAAGCCGCAAACACGGTCCTGACTAATACCACATTAGAGACTAAGGCTAACAAAATAGTGGAGCAACGAGGATAGCGGCGAGCAAGCCTCGAGGAGCTGAAACATAGTAGAGCGGCGAGGAAGTAGGCAAGGTAGGCTTAAAAGCTTGCTTGCTAAACAGAGCCTCCAGACGGTCACCCATCCATCCTCTCCCATCGCCTAACGTCGCTTAACTTCGGCGATCTCTCGAGAACCGATGTTTCAACAGAGCTGTGTCATTGCCCAGTTATACAGAGTGTCCCAGAAATAAGTGAAAGTATTTTAACTGGTAGGATAGTTCAACCCCAGAAACACGCCTATAAGGTTTTTTCGCGAAAAAAAATTGAAAATTCGAAATTTTTTGAAAAAAAATTTGGAAATTTTTTTAATTTCAAGTTAAACATAATTTCTTGATAATATGTCAACATAGGTAACAGATTAAATTTACAAGAAAGAAAGTCCAGAAAAGATCCAGCGCAGCGGTTCTCAAAATTTTAGCAAAAAATATTCTTTTTTTGGAAATTTTCAAATTAAAATAACTTCGTTATTTTGGACTTATTTGAAAAACGATAAAGAGAAAATATGTTTCTTTTATCGAGATCTACCACCCCTTAAAATACTGCAATTATTTCTGGGACACCCTGTAGCTATACTCGTATGTGCTAGATATTGCCTATATTATATTATTATTAAATTGGTGAAACATCTAGACCCTTAAATGTTCGAATTAAAGAACATAAAGATTATTCAAGAAGCGGAGATTTTCACAAATCTAAGATTTGTTAGCATTCATGGGACACAGGGCACAGAATAAATTTTAATAACGCCAAAATTATAATGAAAGAAGTGATAGCTTCTAAAAGAAAAATAAAAGAGGCTTTTTTAATACAATCTAATAAAAATAAATGTATTGCTCATGCATCTGTAGATGTTAGTAATGTATGGCAATCGCTTCTTTGATTTTAAAGAACATAACATAAATAAACATAACATAGTAAAAAATGTCTATACCTATGTGGCATATAATATATAGTAATTATCAGGTAGTAATTGTTAATTTTGGAGTTTAACTTAATATAATGTCATTTTAACAGAACGTCAACGATTTCTTGTAGACGTATCTGTTTTAAAAAGTAAAGTGTTCTCGAATAGTTGAATTTAAATATTTTAAATAGTTTTTTTCTTGATTCTTTATATTTTTTTGCTTCCGACGACGGAAAGAGAAAACTTTCCGAAACGTTAAGCATTTTTTTCTTTGTTAGGCAAATTTTTATTACTGTAAACACAACTTCTGACAAGCAGCGTCCGTTTAGGTTTAACGCAGAAGTGTTTACAAAAAATAACTATTTTATTTTGTAGATTTTTCTTGCAGTGCAGTGGCGAAAAACCCATAAGGATTTTTTTGGATAAACATAACATAGGTAAAAATTAATCATAATCAAACAGAAAGTTTGGGGCTTTTTGGTTTTACCTTATTAAGTAATTGTTAATTTTGAAGTTTAACTTGATATAATGTCATTTTAACAGAACATCAACAGTTTTTGTAGAAGTATCTGTTTTAAAAAACTAAAGTGTTCTCGAATAGTTGAATTCAAAAATTTTAAATAGTTTTTTTCTTTATTCTTTGTATTTTTTTTGCTTCCGAAGACGGAAAGAGATAAACTTTCCGAAACGTTAAGCATTTTTTTGTTCTTTAGGCAAATTTGTTTATCTGTAAACTTAACTTCTGACAAGTAGTTTCTGTTTGAATTAACGCAGAAGTGTTTACAGAAAATAACTATTTTATTTTGTAGATTCTTGCAGTGGCGAAATGCCCGTATAGGATTTTTTGGAGAGATTGCCTATATTCTTAGCAAAGTATGATATTATGGAATGGAAGATCTAAGGTTTTAAATTTTAAGGTGTTGTTTGTGCCCCGGCTCTGTGATCCGTTAAAGATAATGCTGGAAATTGATGTGGACGCGGCTTAAAGGTAAACAGCGCGCAGGGACGAAACCGACGCGAATTTATTAAAGGGCTTTAATGATGCACGGCTGCATCGTGCGGCCAGAGCCACGTCATTTACTTTTTCTTCTTATTAAACATTCAAAGTTCAGCTACAAAATGCATTCTAAGGCACAGATTATATATAAAAGTCGCAAATTAATAATGTTCATTATACCCAGTGTGGTCCACTACTTCACCATACTGTGTGGTGATGTATGCTTATGCAACATATGGAAATGTTTTTATTAGAAGGTTTATTCAAATGGGAATACTGTCAAAAGTTATAGACGGAGAGCCAGCAAAGAAAAAATTCTCTGAATTTACCAAAGCCAATTTTTAGACAGTTGATTACAGTAGTTATGTACATACATATATCGCGGTCAGTCAAACGAAAATTAGAACAGGGACCTCTGGGACGTGGTCAAAGTTGGGAAGATAACTTTCGTTCGGGTAACCCAAACCATGTTTTTTCTATTTTAATAAAAGCAAGTTTAACTTTCCCCCACCATATTATTTTATGAGATAAGGCAAAAAAAATCACCCTAAAAAATACAAATTTTACAATAGCAATATTTAAAATACTTCTTCTTTCTTTGCGAAAAACTTAACTAATACCATATGTCCTCCTCATGATCCACTTTCTTATCTCTCTAATGATATTGTAAACTTACACAGTTTCTTTTTTTCGCCCGTAGTTTTAGAAGAGCTTCGCAGTACAATTATTACCATCAATAAAATGAAATCCTCTTCTGGGACCGACGGGCTAACTTTAAAAATGTTTTCCGATCTGCCAGAAAACTCTGAATCACCTAACAACTTTAATGAACATGTAGTTTCAAAATCTGTACTTTTTTCTCCAAAATGTCTTAAGACGGCAATAATCATTCCTCTGCAAAAGGAGACAAAGATGAAGCTTCTAACTATCGCTTTCTGCACTCCTTCCAACGCTATCTAAGATCATAGAAAGGTTGGTTCAAAAGAAGGCTGGTATCTTTTCTGTTTACTTTACAAAATACTTACTGAATATCAATTTGGATTTCTAAGCAACAAGTCCACAAATGACGCTATGTTTTCCCTCCTTAATAAAGTTTACTCAAGCCTAAACAACCATCACTCTACAGCAACAATTTTCTGTGATTTTTCTAAGGCATTCGATTGTGCAATAAACTGCAGCACTATGGGTTGAGGGGATCATCTCTCGAATGGTTTAAGTCGTATCTGAGCAACAGAAGTCAACTTGTGAGGGTAGATACCACGTTGTCTTCTAGCAAGCCAATAGAATGTGGAGTACCACAAGGCTCAGTATTAGGCCCTATTTTGTTTCTTCTTTTTATTAACGACATTGCTAACATAAACATCAGTGGCAAAATATGTCTTTTTGCGGATGACACTAGCTTCACTTGGAGCAACAATGACATCACGGCACTTCATAGGATTATATCAAATGACTTAATCACAATTAAATCTTGGTGCGATTCGAACCTCCTGAGTCTCAACATTTCTAAAACTAAAGCTTTGTCGTATATAAAACTCGTTGCCGCCTATTTGTACTTAACAACACCACCATTGACGTCGTCAGAGTCTGTAAAATTCTTAGGGCTTGTTGTGGACAATTCTCTGAAATGGGACATACATATCGAAACTTTGTCGAAAAATTTAGCTCTGCTTGTTTTGCATTACGGGCTGTTTCTAGAAGAACTTAACTTGTCAATGGCTAGAACTGTTTATTATGCACTTTTTGAGTCACCTCAGGTATGCCCCTCCATTCTGGGGTGCGTGTTGTGCATTGACTCAATTTGACCGCAGAGGGTCAGGCTCCAGAAGAGAGCTGTTCGATATTCACTGGGACTAAACAGCAGAACTCATTGCCGGGACTTTTTAAAACCATTAAAAATATTGACTCTTCCTTCATAATTTATATTTGAATGTATATTTAATTATTGTGCCTAATACGTAAACATGTATCAGCTTCTCAAGAAAGGCCATCTCACACTTATTCACTCAGGAACATGAAGCAAGATCTTTATCTACCTACCCCACGCTCAGAGTTAGTTAAGATAGTTCAATATTATACAACTCGAAAAAATGCACAATCACCTGCCATTTGAAATCAAATGCATAACATCATTTTTTCATTTTGCAAAGCATTGAACTCTTATTTACTAGACAAGGCTTTCCTACGCCGTAAATGAATTATATTTTGAAAATCAAATTTGATCTTGTAAACACTGGTCTAATGTTTGCTATTGCTATATTTACTAATGACATAGACTATAAATTAATTTAGAGGTCATTGATATTTTACTATAAACTAAATAAATATTTTTGAATATTATTTAACTTTTTGTTCTTTGACATTATAAACATTTATAAATGTTTATTTTAACAATAAGACTGACAATATTATTTGTATAATGTTTTGTATTATCTTTTGTTTGTTTGTTTGTGTACCTTGTTTTTTTACTTTGTTTGTTATTTTACCTTTGTCTACAAATTGAAAATTTTTTTGACAATAAAGGCATTTATTTATTATTTATTTATTATTCTTCATTTGCATGCATATTTTTGAGGAATATTTCGTTTTCTGATTCACCATAATAGATGGCCCCACTAGAAAACTTTTTTCAAATCCATCAAAAGGATTTTCCCTCCAAGTTACACGACAAGGCTATACTGCACTATCCAGTTTTCCCAATAATTACCACATTTTTTATTATTTTACAGGTAACACCTAACAATTTCATAATAATGATTATTTTTTTACAGATGGATGTAAGAAGATAGCTTTTATTTTTATTGTTTCAGTGATCCAGGGGGGGGGGGCAAATGCCCCCTCTTGCCCCCCCTGTCCGGCGCCCATGAACAGAGGCGGATCATAGTTTAATAAGTTATGATGTTTATCTGTTATAAAGTTTAACATTATATATTTTAATAAGATTAAAATAATTGGCAGGGGACGGGACTGGTTACAGTGAAGGAAGAAAACATCTCAAAAGGGACGACCATCACGGTCTTCCTGTGGAGGAGCAAGGAGAAAGACACCGCCTACTTACTGAGACTTATCCAGGATCAGAACCCCAATGCAAGGACATCGAGTTGGCGAGTTATCAATTCGGGGGAGGAGGGTCATGGTCAGATTCTCACAATAGGAATTGACCTCAAATCCAAGGAGGCAATAGAGAAAGAGGGATATATCCTCTATTATAGATTTGGGACGACCGGTATTAGGTCTAAGGAGAGACCATTCTACAACATTGATAAAGAGAGGTGAACCATAGTTAAGTAAGTTGATAATAATGATTTTGAACTGTGATAAAGTTTTGTCTAAAAATAATTCGTCCTAAAATGAAAGCGTTAACTCAAACTTACACGCACAACACCAACAACAAGAACGCTTATCAGCCGCAGATAGCTAGACTCCCAACAACATGAATTATGCACCGGCAAACTGGCTAGAATTTCCCAACTTTAAGAAAATCAACCGCTTATGGGGATATCAAAAGTTTTCTTCGGAATAATATTAAACAAGATATACGTCCCGGGGGTACATAAATAAATGAACAGTTTGAGGCAGCTGGAAACTTTTCTCCGACAACGTGCGGGAAAGGTGCCCTAAGCTGTTGTGAAGATAACAGTTAGGAAAACTGGTGAAAATTAATGATTAAAGAAACGTTCTTTGTGTTTTATTGTAAATTTTTCAGTAAACTGTTTTGCTTTAGTAATAAATATTTATTAACTTAAAAAATAGGGGTTAAATATCAATATTTAAATTATAATGCAAACCAAACCACTACAGTAAATAAATGCCTTTATTGTCAAAAAATTTTACAATTTGTAGACAAAGGTAAAGTAAACAAAGAAAGTAAACAAACAAAAGAGAATACAGAACATTATACAAATAACATTGTCAGTCTTATTGTTTAAAATAAACATTTATAAATGTTTACAATGTCAAAGAACAAAAAAATAAAAATAAGATTCAAAAATATTTAGTAAGTTTATACTAAATATCAATGACCTCTAGATAAATTTATTTCGATGTCATTGGTAAATATAGTAATAGCAAACATTAGACCAGTGCTTACAAGATCAAATTCGATTATCAAAATATAAGTCATTTACGGCGTAGAAAGCCTTGTCTAGTAAATAAGATTTCAATGCTTTGTGAAATGAAGAAAATCATGTTATGGATTTGATTTCAAATGGCAGGTGATTTGTGTGCATTTTTTCTGAGATGTATAATATTGAACTTTTAACTAACTCTGAGCGTGGGGTAGGTAGATAAAGATTTTGCTCCGCATTCCTGAGTGGATAAGTGTGAGATGGCCTTTCTTGAGAAGAATTGCTTACGTATTAGGCAAACGGGTTCAAATATTAATAAGGAAGGAAGAGCTAATATTTTTAATTTAAAAAAAAATCCTGGCAATGAGTTCTGCTGTTTAGTCCCAGTGAATATCGAACAGCTCTCTTCTGAAGCTTGAAAATGCGGTCAAAAAGTGCATAATAAACAGTACTAGCCACTGACAAGTTAAGCTCCTTAGAAACAGATCTTAATGCAAAACAGGCAGAGCTTAATTTTTTCGGCAAAGCGTCGATATGCATGTCCCATTTCAGAGAATTGTCCCTAAGCCCTAAGAATTTTACAGATTCTAAGACGTCAATGGTGGCGTTGTTAAGTAAAAAAGGCTATTACCCATAAAAATATTTTCACTTCTTTAAAACTCACCCTGTATAGTTCATTATTGTTTATTTCTTATTTTCTACATATTTTTTTATTCTATTTATTTAGTAGATTTGCCTTTTTTTATTAACACTAGCTTGTACTCTTTCTGTTATTTTTGAATAAAAAAATTGATTTTTTTAAGAGGGGGGGGGGGGTGTTATATAAAAACTGCATATTTCTTTAAAAGTATTCTTCTTTCCTATACAGGCCTCTTAAAGCATCCGTCAAAACCAAAAAGGCCCGAGCAAAAAGATATATACAGAGAAACAAACAGAGCAGAAAAACAAAAAACAAAATGGCAAATGCTGGAGAGTTGCCGGTAAATTTTATTTAGAGAACAAACGACGGAATCCCTTTGACAAATTTTATTCCACTAACTGTCCACTTTTATGTCGGGATAGTCGCAGGCCGACCAAAATCCCAGGGACCCCGCAGGGTTGAGAAATAGGGATGAGAAGGAAGGGGTGAGCTTAGCCAGTTCCTTTGCTTTATATTTCTCTCATATGAAAACCTCAGCGTCCGTGTTGGGTTAAACAGTGCTTTAACTTGGATCTAATTTGCTTTGTATCAAAATTAAGGTAATACGGGACATTTTGAAATTAATTTAAATTTATTTGATAGAAAATGACACTCTGAATAGAATGACACATCACATGTCAACTTTTGACATTTTTTCTTAAAACAAATCGTATTTTAAATTGCAATCTGCCATGTCTGTGTTTAAAACACAAATTTTTAATCAAGGAGACTTGGAAAGAATTTAAAAATTAAAATTAAAAAAAGAAAAAAAAATTCAACCAACTTATTGGTTGAAATGCGTAGAAACCTGACTAACAATCAGGTTTCTACGCATTTTAACCAATGAGAAACGTGCTGACTAGTCAAGGATTCTTCTGGAAACAGACCTAACATGGTTTAAAATTTAAAGAAGTGGTTTTACCAGAAAACGTAGTCCCGACAAAAGGGTACCATGTACAGTGCTAAAAAATAAGTATTCTGGAATTTTATTAAAGTACCTACCATTGTTAATCTTTTCATCAAATAGATTGAAAAGTAAGTAAAAGTGCTTTACTTTTATACTTAGGCGTTAAAATTACTTTTTTATATTGTCAATCAGGTCGCAAAAATTAATAATATAATATGCCACAAAAGTATAATAACAATTATACTTTTGTGACGTTTGAAAAAAATATATTTTATATTATGCTAATTTTTAAATAATTATTCGTCTTTTTATTCTTTCAGATACAAAATACTTAAATTAAAGAGTCTTCTTATTCAAAGGATTTCAATCATACATTTTTATTAAAAAATGTTTCTTTTTATTTATTCAATATTAGTTAGTTTTTTTTTAAGTTTTTACGACTTCAAAATGTTGTTACGTCAGCCGCATCGGCTGCCGACCGGGTCTCAATATACTATCTTTCTCGCGCTTATAGATACTCATAAGACTTTCTTATCGCGCTCATTTAAAATCTTTATTCGCGTCTGGCAAGTATTAAATCCCATTGGATTCGTCTGGCAATTAACACATATTTTTTAATATTATCTAATAAACACGCTGTAAAATTTTTAGAATGCCTAAAGTATGTTTTCCAGGTATAATAATTAAACATATTTGGAATGGTCTGGTTACACTTTAAACCCGAAAAAAAAAGTCTGGCACACTTATTTCTAGGTTAAAAAGATGCTAAAATTTAAGAATAAACAAATTTCAAGTTGACTAAAGAATGTTTTTTGGATTTATTTTTTTGCAAATGTTATGGGTTGCGCAGTAGCGAAATACCCCCAACCCCCCAGCCAGACTTAGGATTCTGGGTTCACCAGTTAATAAACTATACATTTTTAGTTATTCTAGCTTGCCTAAAATATGTTCTCTAAATATGTCGTCAGCTCTTAGGCTATAACAAGAAAGTATGCACGTGGCTTAATATAAATAAAAGAACAACTAAATACTTTACTTGAATATAAAAAGATAATTCGCCTTTATATTAGAACTTTCACACACTAAACAGATTCTAGTCAATTTTACGAGTATTTAGAAAGTCCAATAAAAAAAAATAGAAATATAGTTGCACAAACTTAAAATTAACTTCTCACTGAACACACTTGCATCCTTGACTATATAAAAGCGGTCGATAAAAGAATAATTAATACAATTTTTAAAATAAAAAACGCAAAAAGAAGCGTCGTTACACAATGGAAATATGATTATGACAATATGATGACAATGAAAATTTGGTTTCCATAACAATGTATAATTTGTACTTTGAATAAGAAGACTAAGGAAGGAGCATAATGCTATCCATGTATTCATGCATGGTGGACGGAAAAGCCACCATAAAAGCTCTCTAGGGTGGGGATTCTTGACAGTTCTGTTTGACGATTCATTTGACACATTTGAATTTGATTTGAAATGTTGTGGATTTGTCAGTCTTTACGGAGCTTATTTTATGTTATTTATTATTTATTCTACTACTGATAGTTGTATAAAGGTAGTAAATCTAGATGGAAATTGTGGCAGAACTTAAATTAACAGTGACACTATCGCGATTTATCGAAAAAGACTCTAAAATAGTTTAGGCAAAAATTGAGTGAAATAATGGAACAACTTTTCGCTAGTAAGTGACTATATAATATACATACGTGTAGTAAACCGATCATTTATGAAATTCACTTAAATTAACTAAATTATATATTTTTCTTGCATTTTAGCTTTTATTTATTACTTGTCAAAGATTAGATGTCAAAGAATTTAGATACGTTAATTTGACTTACCTGCTTCAGTAGCGTATCGGATGTTTGTGTTAATAAATACTTATTATAACTTATCTATTTTTATTAGAATTATATATTTTTATAACAATTTTAATAACTACCAACATTTATTCACAACGTAAAATAAAACAACAAATTATTGAGTCTACCCCACGTCTACCCTACATCATAGTTTTACATTTTTTAAATAAAATTAGAACGACATTGATAAACCGGAATTTAAGTCGGCCATATTTGAGGCCCATCGCGGTGTACCTAAGATTTTTGATATGCTCCTTCCTTAGTCTTCTTATTCAAAGAATTTGGACTTTCTAAACCGTATAAAATTCTGATTATTTTGGAAATACGTGCAACTTTTAATGCGCATGGGCGCAAAGTAAGGTCCTCGAGAGGGACAAACCTATTGAACGTTTCATAAGTGCAATAAAGAAGGTTTGAAAATGGCATGTCGTGATGTTGGAGACATATTTTTTAATGCTAAACTTATGGCGTTGATTTATCCACGTAAGTATAATATATGATCTAGGGTTTTCATTAACATAAAAGTTTTTTAAAATTCCCTGTAAGCAAAATAATACTTTTAATGAACTAGTTGTGTAATAAACCTTATATCGATACGTTAGTTAAACT